GATTGAAAATTTGCGTTTTGGGGGCAAAATTAGGAATTTTTCAGAAACTAATGGGATCTAATATAATAATGATGAATGTAATGGCAATAAGAAAAATATCCTGTTTGATTATTCGAATTGGAGACTTGTTAATCTTAAGTAGAAAGAAACAGGAAAAAAAGAAACGGCAAAGTATGTAAATAACTTTTCGAAGAGATAAATACTCTTCCATACGAAAAAGTAAATGTAGGAAAACAGGAGACTGTCCAGCCGAGAATATAATTATAATAGGAAAATGAGAAACTCCACAATCTGCTTATTATAATATATTTCACAGCAAAGAAAATAGAAGTTCACTGGATCAGCTTAAAATTGTAATATCTTTAATAATCTATTGTTCCTTTAATGCTTTTATAAATTCATTGTTCCACTAAATGGATATACACTTGTGAAGAGGTAGAAAAGGACTTTTAAACTGTAAAACTAAAATCTTCTGTAATACCAATTTTTAAGAACTCGATTATAAACATTTTTCCAAGGTAACATGTTATTTTCCGAGGTAAAAAAATATATTTATAATACATGTAAAAGACATTTTTCTGCTTCATTTACATTTTCAAATTTGTTTACTTCATTTTAACAGATTTTATGCCAACTAAATAAATAAAGGAATGTGAACACAAGAGGCAAAAGAAGCAGACAAGCTAAAACATTTTATCGTCTCACCATATTTGAACCCTAACCACATTTTTAGATTTAATGATATTCATCACTAGCACGTCACGGACGTGAGCTGAATCAAAATTTAGACTTTTCTGTACTTAGATATCAGCGGAATATATTGCTTTTCGGTTCTGAAGAGAAAACAAGCAGTGTACTGCTTTAGAACCCTTCTTTCAGATCGCCATCAGAATTTCAATTTATAAATTCTTTAATAGTGTTTTGGAAGACATTAAAAATGTTTTCAGACAGGAAGTAAAGCCGTAGCTTAAATAAACCCCTTCAGTGTCGACGTAGTTTCAGACTCAGCACTAATTTTATCAAAATCTTGAAATATTTGATCTCTGGAAGTTCGACTTTGAGTTGTCTGCCAAGATTTGAAGTTTCAAAATTTAATTTAATTTTTTATTAGATGATAAACTCTTTTGCTTAAACTCTGATTATCATTGTTAGTAAATGTAAATAGCGTCTGTGATTTAAAACAAAAATTTTAACGATTTAGAAATTTCGCATTTTCAGTATTTAGTCTTCAGTTACATAATGCTGCGCTTTAGAAGCAAATACCAAGAATGAAAGACATTAACAAAAGTTCTTTGTGCATATGAACAAGACTTCAAATTTTTACTAAATCCTTCGTTATCACAATAAACGTAAAAAATGATAACCAGTGAAAGGATTTTGCTATCCCTTTTTTACACCTTATCGCAATCAGCTGCTTCCCGTTCGCAGCATTATAAAAGCACATTTATTAATTCCTTCATTGAATGTGCTTTTCCCACTTGCTTGCTATCATTTGCTTCTCTTGTCTAATATTTTATTACAATAATAATAATAATAAATGACATTTTTCCTTTTACTCTTTTTCGTTTTATCTTCTATCGCAGTTGATTTTCATACGCTGCATTACAGTAGCAGTTTTGATAATTCGTTCATTTAATATGCGTTCCAAACCTGATCGCTATCAACTGCTTTTTCTGTATAGCATATTTAATTTGCTTAAAATCCTAGTTGAAATCTCCCTATTTGATTGTGTTTACAGAAAAGGAAAAAAAAGCACATGAAAACTCAAAATAATAATAAAAGAGAAATGGAGCCTTTTAAGTTAATTATTATTATTCTATCTGTTCTCTGGTTTTCATAAAAAGAAAAGTCTCATTGAATGCGCTTGTAAACATTAGCTTTGGCTAGGAAGGAACTAGTTTGCTTGTTTCGTTAATTTATAAGTTGCAGAGTTTAACATTCATATTATATAATAGTCTGTTTTAATTCCAAATAAAAGAAATTGTTTTTGTGCTTTCGACTTATTTATCTTGGTATTTTTTAATTTTTAAAATTCATTTCACATAATACACATTTTAGTTCTTTGGAAATGAATTATACTTTTGATTTTTATTTCATAATGAAATAGCACATGCTACAATTTCATTAAATCCATGTAACTCTTGATAGAGGCGAAAAACTTTAATGATATAGAAAAAATTTATTAGGACACTTAGTTGCTTTTGCTTCAAGCCTCAAAATCTGACAGATCGAAACTCTAATAAAGCTGTTGTTGTCGCTGCTTAACCATTCATAGAGGTTGACCATTCGTAGAAGGTCTCCCTATTGAAAGACTGAATAGGAAGAGAGCAGGGAGATTGTCTGAAGTTAACCATAGTTAATGAACATTGTTAGTGAGAATATAACTTTTACCCATTTGCATCTCAATTTTGGTAGGAATTCACCTGGGTAAACGTCATTCCCAGAGTATGAATATGAAAGTCTTTTTCCGCTATTCCTCTGTCATCATTCTACAGAGAGACATTCAAATTGAAATGCTTTAAATGCCCTTTCCCTGCATAAACTCATTTATAAACGTCCGTATCTCAGCTGAGATATGTATCCTGCTCTTCTGCTTGGGAAAAGCCTCCGCTGATTACTATAAGTATTATGTTGTATATTATATCCTAAAAATATTAACTGGTACTTCCCATTTAGGAATATTTGTTCACTCCCAGGTAAAACATGGATGTTTTTAAATGTATAGTATCTGTGCGGCATGGCACTCTAAATATGTCCTCTCGTGTGGATTAGTGGGTGAGGAGATGGGTGGGAGACCCCCGGATCCCTCCTCGGGTGCAATCCCTCAAAACGGGGCTGGAAAATAGAAGTCCAATCTCTGTTTGGAGTAGGCTCTGGCAACCATTGTTACATGTAATATGGACAGAACAACAACAACGACAACAACTATTTATTCATTCCATACAAATTTCCACGTATCCCTTTATATAATTTTAAACTGATGTATAAGTATTTACTTAAGAAAATATTTATTTCATAACTAAATTGCTAATTTCACAGGCACTTAAATAATCACTAACTGTTTTTAATTCTTTATAATCTGAATTATTAAAAATCCTACACTCGGTATTTCTAGAACTTTCATTTATTTTAAAAACACACATACTACATAAAGATTTTAGTATTATATACATACACTTAAAAAATAAAAGATCATCTATGTAACGATGAATGATAATTGCGAAATATATCTATAATCTCTATAAAAAATCTGTTATCTATATGAAAATTTATGTATGCATTCTATTAAAAATCTATTTATCTCTGTAAAAGTTCTTTAGCTAACTGACTGCAATCCATTCTCTTTCTGTAGCAGACTTGCTGTTTTGAAATTTTATCTAAAAATAAAGTTTAAAGCATCATTTCTGCCACATTTTAGTGGTGCAAGTAGTTATCTGGCCTGGCATTAGTACAATGTGGCATAATAAATTGGCTTGCATTGGTATATTGCTTATACTAATATATATATATATATATATATATATATATATATATAAAGACCAAGAAATTTTCCGCAACATTTTTTATATTAATTTTACTAAATTGTTTTTATCTCGATTTTGATGTGTGTATTTCCGGTTGGATATTGAGAACGAGCTGGAATCACTTTTAAACAATTTTCATTAAGGTAAATAAATGTTCTTAAATTAGACTCGAAGGTAAAATAAGTTGTAATTATGTAGCAGGTTCTATACTGAAATTATAGTACTATTATATCGGCTCCACTGTAATACAGAATAATACGTTTTGTATGAGATAAAGTTAGGACGCGATTAGAGAGGACAATGTAGCCAACAGGCAGTGAAAAGAAACTGTCGCCGTTGTTGATTGCATGACGTCATCACCTCTATAATTGGATTAAGAAGCCTTACTCCTTTCACCCTCCATTCAGTTTACCTGCCCACATCTTTCTTTCGCCTGGAGAAGTGCTTCTTCGACCGCCTTGGAACAAATTTGTAACTGTGAGTGGTGTTTTGTTTTCATTTTCGACTGTGTTATCACATGGAATTGATGAAGTGTTTATGATCAGCATTTAAATAGTCTTTTGTTCTTTATCTGCCATGCAAATAAGATAAAAAAAAGTCATCGCATGTATGGAAAGGTGTTTTGGATACTTCAATTCCTACAAGTGGTTCGGATGTTTGTTTGACGAAAAAAAGAAATCAATTTAATTTTGTATCATTCGAAAGTAAAATTCGCTGGAAGCAATTTATGTGAAAGGTAACAACAGGAAAACTTTATTTTACGTTGCAATTTCCTCTTTATCATAATGAAATATGATGTGATTCATTTTTATTACCATTAAAACAATTACTTTTGGTCTAATTCTGATCAATTCAGTCGGTTCAATTAATCAGTTTGGTGTCAGATTCTTATTTTACGCTTTAAGCATTTACTATCATTTTCTTATTGCAACAGTTAATTAAGAACTTATTACGCTTATTATTATTATCATCATTATTATTACTACCATTTAAAGAAACTTTGTGCAATTTTGCTGCAATTCATATTAGGTAAATTATCAGAACAAGTCCTTATCTGGGTATACTGGGAGCTTATATTTAAATGCAGTTTAACTATTATGTACCACACGATGATTATAATGGAAGAAAGAGATTTTAGATCACACACTGAGGATTATTACTGTTAGGCACAGTAGATTCACCCTAGGGTAATGAAAACTAACATTATGTAGTAGGAATTGCTTCTTGAAAAGGAATGCATCGAGAGGAGTATACATGGAATGTTCAAAGTAAATAAACAAAAGTATTGAATTATCGTAAAGATTTTGAAGATTGTAACTGTTAAATACAATTCAAAACCAGAGGGTAATTTCCATTAAGAAAATTTCATGCATTTGTTTTTCTTTTAGATTGATAACATTGAATTTCTAGTACATAAAAATTATATTTGTCGTTATTCTTAATCTGCTTTTTATACGTGACTAACACAGTGTTTAGCCCCCAGGTCCTCCCTCGACCACCCCCAACCATGGCTGCTGTAGATCCCTTGCCTGCAGATGGCCCATCCGTCACCCTTACCATCCGACTCATCATGCAGGGAAAGGTAAGTTTCCTACCAATTGTTTGTTGTTCTCTATACATGGTTACGTGTGTATGTGCGTATGTGTGTCAACTTCAAATGTTTTTTATTGTTATCACTCTATTAGAAGCTGAAGCTGTGCTTATGATTATGAATGTGTCTCTTTTTGCCTTTTTATTATAGAGTTCTGATTTAATGTAACATTTCTATCAAGGAAATATTTTGTACATCTGTTGAGTATAATAAGTAAAGAAAATCACATCGTAATTTTATTGGAGTATTATTAGAATGCACTTAGGTAAATGTTTTAGATCCTTACCTTTTCTGTAGCAATACTTTTGCTTGCATTTTTTTCAGAAAGTATTTTCTGAAATTTTAATTAGCATAATAATTATTTCTTACTGCAGCACCTTTTTAAATTCAAGATTTTTTCAAATTAACTATCAGTTGAAAAACATAACAAATAAAAAAATGGTGTTGATTTCCAATTTTGTGAAAACGCACTGCATCAAATTTTCAATTTTTAATACCTATCTCATGCAATTTTTGGATATCTGAGTTATATTATGTGTTATACAAATATAGATTCATTAAAATTAGATTTCCATTTCAACCCGAGTTTTCCTAATATGTACACACACACACATATATATATATTTAAATTCGAGAGTCATTTGAACTATAGTTTTCCTAAGATATATATATATATATATACCTTTACAAATTACTTTACAGCAAGTCGAAATTAGTAAATCTTTCTTAAAAATTTCCTTCACATTCATAGCAGTTATCATGAATAATTTAAAATGCAATGCACTGTGTTAGACACTTATCTGAGAACGCTAATCATATTTTAAAGCGGGGTTAGAATGCTCAGCAGTGTTTCTTGTTTTTGAAGGAAAGCATGCCGATGACTTTAAAACTAAGTGCAATGTTTACCAGTAGGTAAGCTGAAAGCTCGAAGTTTTTTGTTATTACGATTTATCCGAAGTTTAAGAACACCATTGGTTTTCTAAAGCAAACAATATTCATATGCATTCTAAATGCCTTAAGGAGACTCTGCAGGAAACATCGATAATCCTTCGTGAAATTTCCTTACATTTTCAGCTATTTCAATGAAAATACCTTTTTTTAACCAAATTCTAACAAACCCCAAATGCGTGAAACAAATCATTTCACAACTGTTTCCCTAAGGCATTACTTATAAAAGCAAAAATTCTATAAAATGGTTTGAAAAATATACATAAAGGACATTCTGCCGCAGTTTTAATGTATAATATTTAATCAATTTTTCCGTCACAATTTCAGTTCTTAATGTTAAATCAATTTTTTATTCATCAAGAAATAACAGTAACTAAAAATCTTTTCGTATGTACAAAAAAAAAAAAAAAAAAAAAAAAAAAGAACCGAATCTTACAGATACTAATAATGAAAACGAAAGAGGCCATTATACACACAACACCAGTTCTTGTTGCTTATTATCAGCATCTTTAACGTCATTTTGCACCTATAGAATGTAATGTAAGTAAAATCAAAATATTAATATAAATCTGAATTTAAAATAGCATATCCATTATAACAGAAACATGGAAAGTTTCAGCTTCATGACGAAAAGCTTGAAATAATCTAACTTAATCAAACCTTACTGCTGTAAAAAGTACATTGATATAATTAATGATTTGAAAGAAAATAGACTTCTAAAAGAAAATAAATTCATTTCTTAAAAGTATGCCTTTAGTAGCTTTGCGAGCTAAAATATATAAGTACATAATTTTAAGCTCAATATATGAAATTTAGTCATATTAATTTAAGGCCACCTTTTAGTATAGGTGTGCATAGGTATATGATATTATGTTTTATGACATTAAATAAATATTTTAAAATTATTTCAGTATCTTATTATATCCAATGACTTCTACTCAGTAATAAACTTATACTATTATTTTCCACGAGTGAATTTTAACAGAATAAATCCAAACTCCTCTAAATTTAATTATACTACACTTTAATTTATAAAAAGGTTCCATTTTAAAAAGATGTTATAATTCAACTGACATCATAACCAGCTAAAGATTTAAAGCTAGAAGACTGCCTTTTTTATTTCCTAAAATCCTACAATAATATAATTATTATAAGGTTATAAAACGTAAATTCCTTAGGCAAAATATCTAAAAAATGTCCCATATGTAGGTAGAGAGAACTCGAACACAACGGTGTTGTATTAAATGCATAGTTTGTGTTTTACACTTATGTTTAAGCATTGGGATATATAGAAGATTCTTTTCTGTTCTACAATCATGAACTGACTTTAAAATAAAACTATTTTGTCGAATCACAGTCATTAATATTTCTGAGATAAAGTTAATTGCAAACTTGAGCAAATAAATGTTTGAAATGCCTACTAAACGCAAGATATGCTTTCAAAGAATGATCTTTTGACTTCATACATGCAAGAATTCAATATTTCAACAAGGTTGCATTTCCATCTTCAGGGATACCTTATTCATTGTAAATACAGGAAATCGAAGTCTATTCAAGGGTTCGATATAGAACGCAGGGTAGTAAATCTAGAAAATTCTGAATCCGGACAGAAGAAAAGTCGAGACTGGCTGGTCAAGTTTATTGTTTACTATGTAAAGTATATGGAAAAAATCTAATGTTTAATCAACAGGCATGCAACTGCTACTGGTGTAATACTGGTATTATTTTATAAATTTGAATTCCGTGCAAATGTGTGTATTTGAAAGATTTTATTTCTATTTTTATTAACTATACTGAGTTTTAAACTAACTGTAACTTTCATTGTTTTTCCCAGTTCATATTATTCGCTTAAAAAATATGCAAATTAATTAAAAGAATTTCCAAGCAAGTAAGATGTTTCAGTATTGCAGATCTAAACAGCGTTGCTAAAATCTGTCATTTTAAGTAATTATAACGATTTTATTGTCTGGCTGTGCAGTGAAGAGCCACAGACGTAAACAGGTTTCTAAAAGTGCGTAGAGATCTACTGTTACTGCAGATCTACAATATTTAAGTCTTGAAGACCCACTACAACACTGCTAGCGAGATATCGCTGAGTCTTAAACAAATCCCAAACACTGGTTAAAATAACCTTTTTTTATTTAGTTTTAAATTAAACAGAACAAGCACAGTTTATGCTACTATGAACTTCTGCTATTTTCCCGATATTTAAATGAGCATAACAGAAAGTTAAATTTAAAGTGCAGGTAACGTATCAGGGATTACACATAAATTAGAATAATTAAGTTGGCTCAGAATTCTTCAAACACGTATTTTGAAACATCAGCTAATAAGGCTCTAAAGCCGGAATACAAATTTAAACAGAGCTAGCAAGAGTAAGTAAACAGCAGGATGCAGCTCCCAGATGCTCTAATCTAAATATTCAACACCCTCAGTTTAAATATACACAACTAATTTGCATTCTGATGAGGAATATTGAAAGAAGAAGTTATTATAAAGTATATATGTGATTAATTAAAATAAAATACCTTGTAAGTGAATTGCCGCCAGTTTTTCAGCAAGTGTGGTTTAATGTGTAAGTTCGGTAAGTGTGAACCTTTTGAAGGTTAGAAATGGTAAAAATTGCTTAGAGGATTACCTTTTCGAAGTAAAGAGTTGAACTGTTTGTGTAGACACATCGGTGGCTATAGACACCTTACATAAGTTGTTCATGCCTTCAATCTACAGATGTTTTGATTACATTTAGTTGTTGTATTCTATAGATTAATAATCATTAACAAATTTTGTAATTACTTTTAATTACTCGTGTGATTGTTAATTCGCCCTTTTAATTCCGTCATAATTCTTTCACAGAGTTAAAATGTTAAAGATAAAAGTGTACTTATTCATAGCTCAGAAATATACAAAACGTATATCAAGATTCTGCAGTTATAGAATCTTCGTCTGTGCTTGAAATTCTTGCTCCTGCCCTTGATACAATCAGTCAAGTTCAAATTCACTGACCTTACCTTTAGAGCACTTTGAGCTTCCATTTTGTTATTTCACCTTTGATATAATCCTAATACATGATTGTTCGAAACAGGTAGGTTTAATTACACTCTTCGATTATGGTAATCCGATTTGCACGTTGAATTACAGTTGGTTGTATCAATTAGTAGCAGCCACTAGCAAAATGGCTGAACGTTAGCAACTTGATCTGGATGTAAATCCAGGCCAACGAGCTACCTGCATGGGAGTTTTCGCGATTTTCGTCATGTATAGCTTGAATATGAACCAGTTTCCCTTAGGAAATCGTCTCTGCACTAAAGCATTTCTCCCTTTACACGGATAATCTTCGTGCTCTTTGCCTTAACCAATTAATCTAACCTATTTAAGCTTTTGATACTGCAGTAGTAGTTTGTCTCATGTTCCAGTAAAATAAAATTCGGCTTACTGGAAGAACTTAATTAATAATTTTCCTTAATTATTTAATAATTTATGAATAATAATTAAGTCTAATAATATTTATTATTTAGTGATAATTTTTTCAGTAAAATATCTCGTCCCTCTAAATATGCTATCACTTAAAATAAAAATAATCATATTTTTAATATTATAAAAAATTTTCCCTATATGATCTAACATTTTCAGGTGTCCTTTACCGGTTAGCTAACGTTGCTGATTACAAATATCTTAAACACCTGTAATAGGTATCAGTTCGATAACACAAATAATTATATATACCTGCGGAAGAATGTTTTTAATTTGTGTCTAATAAATGGAGCAAGAAATTTATTTACTACATCATTACACGGGTGATTGGCATTCTTTAAATGGTTAAAATAATTTAAAGCATTTAAGAAAAAAGTATTATGCACTTATTATAGAAATATGAGTAATCATAAGAGGACGGCAAACGAAACATTTAACATTTTAATACCAGTACTATGTTCCGTATATACGGGCAACACGGAGTCAGTTTGATAGTTATTTCATTTCAGACGACTAGGAATTTCAGATTTTATGAATGTTTGTTTTACCTTATAGAGGCATTAGATGTTTTG